GTGTTCCACTGCTTCAGTTGTTAATTTCTATTTACACAACACCGCCTCACCCAATCTAACCTAATCTTATTGTGGATCTCAGCTGACGCTTAGCAACCCCGTGGCTAACCGAACATTAGCCGGATAATGTACGAATTGTTCCGTTCACCATTCATACAGCTTTATCCAAACCGACCGCCTATGCGAATTAACCGGCTTCACTTTGCCGAGCTGCTTTGTATTGCGGAGCTCCCCATCTCGATCAGGTTTTTGTCCCGTTTCCCTGATCTATTGAGCAAATGCTGAGATGATCCCTTGTTTTGCTTCTGGACGTAAATGTAGCTTCACTATGCGCACGTTTTGTTGAACTCTCCTTTTGCTTGTAATGGTAGGAGTAGAGGTAAAGGGGAGCTGCTATTTTGTTAGCAATTCAGAAAAATCATACCTGCAATTCGTTTACCAATGCAAACAAGTTTTCTATAACTCCGAAACGAAAATGTCTATTTTTTTCAAATATTGTTAATTTCGCGGTTTTTAAAAATTTATTTTTATTTAAATTGATTTGTTTACTTATTAACCTTTTATTCATATTTCAACTATTTATAGTTAAAATGACGAGAAGGGATTCTGGAACTCAAGAAAACGTGCACAGATAATCTTCTCCCCCCCTACGTCACATACAGTTTTTACTTTCTTTTTTGACTAAATAAATCAAAATGAAGATGTATTGTTCTATGAACATTTATTCAGCGTTTGTGTCATTATGTTTTTTTGTGGAATATTATAAGATATTCATTTTGGACATGTAATATGAAAATTAGCAAAAATGTTCTCTCGGCCGTTTCATAAGTACTTCGAGAAAAGTAAAAATGCGAAAACTTTGGGTGCTAATGTGGAACATCTGAAGTATAGTGAGTACATTCTGTTTTATAAAAATATATCAGATTTACTTTAATATTTATGGTAATAAACCACGTCCCTGAAAGGTTCATTTTTCGCAGAAATTGCATGCATCTCTTTGTAATTGGTGTTTGTTATTTTTGCATTGGAAAATGTTACTCTTCGATTCCTAGATATCCCTGCAATACTTATAAGTACAATTCGGATTAAATAACAGAAACCCCGAACGTGAGCCTTTCGTTTCATAATTCTAAGAATTTGACGGACGTGCTCTTTATTAACGGTCATCACGTGCCCTCGAGGGAATGTTTTTCAGGAATTCATCGTCAAAATTCCTGGCAGAGTAGCACTTCAGCCACACGGGAGACTGTTAATAACATTCATGGAAACTACGCCAATATCCCGGCATGGGTCCCGGAAGGACCCAGCGGTCGCTGTTAGATGTAACATGATCGCGTTATTGGCCCCGCCCCCTGCTCGTCCGATGGGAACGAGATTCGGTGCCAGGCGGCCGCAAAAGCGCCTCGCACGTCGTGTTTCAAGCGAACGGCTCCGAAATCCAACCGATTGCAGCTACCTGTTTCGGTGGGATCTCTCTCTTATTGGAAGTTGGATGTTTTCAGTTTCATGCAGATTTTCACGAATGAGAGATTTTGTCGAAAATTACATGAATGTAGACAATAGAACATCTATTTTACTGTGTCCTAATTATAATAATAATAATAATAATAATAATAATAATAATAATAATAATAATAATAATAATAATAATAATAATAATAAGTACGCATTTGGAACTCCAACGAAAGAATGTCGGCGCTCAAACGAAACTAATTAACGCTGCATTTATATTGAAGTGTGTCTTCACCTTTGCCAACGACAATGTTTTATATTTAGTAAATAAAATGGCTGTCGATAAGATAGAGCTTTTTATATTCTATGTACTTAAAACTCACGTGCTGTCTATAGATTGAATATAATTCCTTGTGAACATTTGTTCCATGTCGGAACGGTTATATTTTCGTTTCAGAGTTACTTCTTTATCGGAGAGGAGTGTAGCTAAAACACCGGGTCGTTAACTGATTGTTGCCATACATTAGACGATCACGACAATTTAGCTTCAGAGATGTGTTAAGTCTTTATGAATAATTATAATTATAATGTAAGTAAATCTATCATATTGTCCCAGTTGGTGATAGAAATGTAGAGTAGCATATATAAGCGTGTTAATTCTAAAAGAGTGTAGTGCGAGAAAGTGTCACCTCCAAAGGTTAATTTTTCCTTCACTGGAGCCATTCGCGCCCGCGGACGCGACCAGGCGGAACGGGTCAGCTGAATTAAAGATTGCCTGCGTTACCACCTTGCACTAAGCTCTTTTGAAGATAATTCATTTTGATCTATTGCTCCGCAAATGCCACGGCTAGATGTTCGTTCTGTTTCGGGAGTAAGTGAAGAGAGCTGCAGAAGCGAAAGGACCCATCAGCCCGGCGGCTTCTGGCGGCGCGGCGCGGAGCGCGCCCTCTGCTCCTGGGGAGCCTGCGGGCGCCGCACACGCCCGCGCAGCGCCTCTGGCTGAGTGCCGCGCACGCTTCCCGCGGGCGGGTGGCGGGCGGGGCACGGGCGCGGGACAGGATAGAGTGAAGTGGGGTGAGGTGGGGGGGGCGGGGCGGGTGTTCGGGGCGCGATAGGCACGGGACGAGTATGGGGTAGGGTTAGTCGAAATTCTGGAGAGGTGAGACAGGAGGGTGTGAAGTGGGTGGGGTCGGGTCGGGAACGGGATGCGTCGCGGCGGGGCGGAGTGGGGGGGGGAGGGTCGCTTCGGTCGGGGCGGGACGGTTGCGGCGGAGCGGGGTGGGAGAGGCAGGGCGGTCGTCGGGTCGGGAGCGGGACGGGACGGGACGGGACGGGACATGTCGCAGCGGTAAGGGGTAGGGTTGGTGCGGGGCGGGAGGGCTCCGGTTAGGGTCCGGGGCGGGACTCGTCTCGGCCCGGAGCGGAAGGGGAGGGGTGAGGAGGGGCAGGCGGTCCGTCCCAGGCGCGGGGTGACCGCGGGGTCCCCTGTTCGCAACCCCGGAGTGCTGCCCTGCCGCTGCCGAGGCCTCTGAATTATTGACTGAAGCTCAGTCGGGCCATTCAGGAGCGGGCGCGCCCGCTGGCCCGCAGCCAGAACCTGGGGAAGAGGATGGGGGAGGGGACGGGGACCCACCCACCACCCCTGCGGGGCCTGCGGTGTGGGACTATCGGGGGTTGTGGGGGACAGGTGCTTTGTGAAGAAATTGTGGGAAATATAGAAAGTGGAATGGACATCAGGTAAAAAAGCGAAATGGAAGAGAAAAGCAAAATGCTCCCGGGTTCAGACATTTCAAGACAATAAAACTGTGTTTGGTAGGGAAAGATTGAGGATGAAAAACAAATAAGGGTGAGGTATAGAAAGAACGACAGGAGAAAACAAAAATGTATAATCACCCCGAAGAATATTTGGCCGGGTGAAGAAATTGCGGAATTTCTTTCAAAGTCGACGATATTTTGCATCGTCTGACAAAACTGCCGTGTTACACAAAATATAGATGGAAGGCAATTTTTAGCCAAGTCATAATGTGAAGAAAGCGCAATAACACGAATGATTGAAAAATCACAGTGGGGCAGTACAGCGAACGTCGAGTGTAAAGGAGGAACGAACAGCGATATTTTGCCTCGTCTGCCAAATGTGCCGTCTTACACAAAATATGAATGGAAGACACGTTATTAGCCAAGTCATAATGTAAAGAAAGCGCAATAAAACGAATGATTGAAAATCACGGGGCAGTACAGCAGAAGTCGAATGTAAAGCCACAAGGAGGAACGAAGACCCTCAACTCCGAGTGGAAAGGGCCGCGAGTCCGGAGCGGCCGGCCTCCACGACGCACGCGCGTGCGGGGGCATTTGGCCCCTTTAGGCCCTTCACAGTGCATAAGCATGGCGTTGACATAAAAGTTAGGACTACGTCCATAAGCGGACTGATTCACAAAGCGTTCGCATAAGCATAACACGTAAGACTAAGTTAACTTAAAAGCTTGCAAGCTTCTGTGCTTATGCTTACGGACGACATAACAAATGAACCAATAACAGAACGGTAACTCAAGATGGAGAATCGAAAAATGAGCGTAGTCGATAGAAGAACTAACGCCATATGGGTCATAGACAGAGTCGATATCTTGAAATCGATTCTCACATCCAACCAGAAAGTCTCACAGCCAATTATTTTGCTTACGTTTATGTTCGGCATTGTGACTACTTGAGTCTATCACTTATGTTAATGTTTATGCGCTCTGCTTGTGTTTACGTGTGCATTGTGAATGGGCCTTTTGGGTGGGGGCGGCCTCCGGCGCCGCGCGCGGGGCGAGCGACAAACAGGCGCGCACTCTGCAAGCGTCCAGGGGATCTGGCGCGTTGCCACGCGGCCGCCGCCGCGACAGAGCGGAACTGACCTACGCCAAAAGCGGTCTTCGCCGGAGAGCCTCTTC